CGTAAAGTCCTGCTCACAAACGCAAAGTTTGTGTGGAATAATACTATCCATTAAACATACTTTGTAGCCATAACCAATTTAGCAACACACAACACTTTACTACGCAGGGTCAGACCTCGTGTTAGGTAGTCACCCGGCAGCGGTGTTCTCGTTGTTGTTGTTGAACTAATAAATATAATCTAGATATGCAAGGAGACCCCTGCATTGTATAGGTAAACCCACTAAAAGAAACTCCTTAAAAAAAAAAATTTAATACAAATTTATTTTTTATTTTAAAAAATTGTAACATTTTTTTAAAGAAGTCGAGGCGGACAACGTGGAAGTGAACGACGTGTCGCCCACGAGCCTTGAGCGCGCCACACGCACACAGAGAGAGGAGGGGAACGAATGAAGTTGAATAATAAAACAACAAGTTTGAGTTGCGCGACACGCGCTCGGCGCTCACCGCGTGTTCAGAAGCTTCGTGGGCGACGCGATTCCAGAGCTCAGGGGCCGCGGCGTTCTCGATTCCCGGCGGGCAAATAGATATTAATTAATAAGACGTCCACGCTTTTAAAGAGACGCTTAAAGTGATTGACGCCGATTTTTATTGATTGCTTTATCAATTAGGTTTTTTATTTCGAGTGATGCACGCACACGACGCAGGTGAGCCTGAGGCACGTGGCGCCTGATTGGTGTGCGGGCAGTACGTTGTCACAGTAAGCACACAGTCCTCGTGGATTGGACAACAGGAAGTAGACTAAACATGTTGTTACAAGATGTTGACCACGACAAACAGAGGCATATCACGTGAAGTGAGAAGCGTTGAAAAATATAAAGGGGCAGAAATTACTCCATCAAGAAAACTAAATTTTAATTAAAACCCAGTACACATGCAACGTTGAGACAATTTGGTTAACATAGGTGTTCACACACAGTGTGGTTAACATAGGTGTTCACACACAGCGTGGTTAACATAGGTGTTCACACACAGCGTGGTTAACATAGGTGTACACACACAGTGTGGTTAACATACAATGAGGGATAAAAAATTGATCCCCTGCTGATTTTGTACGTTTGCCCACTGACAAAGAAATGATCAGTCTATAATATTAAAGGTAGGTTTATTTGAACAGTGAGAGACAGAATAACAACACAAATCCAGGAAAAAATGTTATAAATTGATTTGCATTTTAATGAGGGAAATAATTATTTGACCCCCTCTCAATCAGAAAGATTTCTGGCTCCCAGGTGTCTTTTATACAGGTAACGAGCTGAGATTAGGAGCACACTCTTAAAGGGAGTGCTCCTAATCTTAGCTTGTTACCTGTATAAAAGACACCTGTTCACAGAAGCAATCAATCAGATTCCAAACTCTCCACCATGGCTAAGACCAAAGAGCTCTCCAAGGATGTCAGGGACAATATTGTAGACCTACACAAGGCTAGAATGGACTACAAGACCATCGCCAAGCAGCTTGGTGAAAAGGTGACAACAGTTCATGCGATTATTCGCAAATGAAATAAACATAAAAGAACTGTCAATCTCCCTCGGCCTGGGGCTCCATGCAAGATCTCACCTCGTGGAGTTGCAATGATCATGAGAACAGTGAGGAATCACCCAGAACTACACGGGAGGATCTTGTCAATGATCTCAAGGCAGCTGGGACCATAGTCAACAAGAAAACAGTTGGTAACACACTACGCCGTGAAGGACTGAAATCCTGCAGTGCCCACAAGGTCCCCCTGCTCAAGAAAGCACATATACATGCCCGTCTGAAGTTTGCCAATGAACATCTGAATGATTCAGAGGACAACTGGGTGAAAATGTTGTGGTCAGATGAGACCAAAATGGAGCTCTTTGGCATCAACTCAACTCGCCGTGTTTGGAGGAGGAATGCTGCCTATGACCCCAAGAACACCATCCCCACCGTCAAACATGGAGGTGGAAACATTATGCTTTGGGGTGTTTATCTGCTAAGGGGACAGGACAACTTCACCGCATCAAAGGGACGATGGACGGGGCCATGTACCGTCAAATCTTGGGTGAGAACCTCCTTCCCTCAGCCAGGGCATTGAAAATGAGTCGTGATGGGTATTCCAGCATGGCAATGACCCAAAACACACGGCCAAGGCAACAAAGGAGTGGCTCAAGAAGAAGCACATTAAGGTCCTGGAGTGGCCTAGCCAGTCTCCAGACCTTAATCCCATAGAAATCTGTGGAGGGAGTTGAAGGTTCGAGTTGCCAAACGTCAGCCTCGAAACCTTAATGACTTGGAGAAGATCAGCGGACACAGCGGAGACATTGAGAGAGAGACACGGGGAGAGACACGGGTGGAGAGAGAGACACGGGTGGAGAGACACGGGTGGAGAGAGAGACACGGGAGAGAGACCGGGTGGAGAGCACGGGTGGAGAGACACGGGTGGAGAGACACGGGCGGAGAGAGAGACACATGGTGGAGAGACACGGGTGGAGAGAACGCGGGTGGAGAGACACGGGTGGAGAGACACGGGTGGAGAGAGAGACACGGTGGAGAGACACGGGTGGAGAGACACGGGTGGAGAGAGAGACAACGGGTGGAGAGACACGGGTGGGAGAGAGAGACACGGGTGAGAGAGACGGGTGGAGAGAGAGACACGGAGACACGGGTGGAGAGACACGGGTGGAGAGAGAGACACGGGTGGAGAGACACGGGGTGGAGAGACACGGGTGGAGAGAGAGACACGGAGACACGGGTGGAGAGAGAGACACGGGTGGAGAGAGGACACGGGGAGAGACACGGGTGGAGAGAGAGACACGGAGACACGGGTGGAGAGAGAGACACGGGTGGAGAGAGACACGGGGAGAGACACGGGTGGAGAGAGAGACACGAGACACGGGTGGAGAGAGAGAGACACGGGTGGAGAGAGACACGGGGAGAACACGGGTGGAGAGAGAGACACGGAGACACGGGTGGAGAGAGAGACACGGAGAGAGACACGGGGAGAGACACGGGTGGAGAGGAGAGACACGGAGACACGGGTGGAGAGAGAGACACGGGTGGAGAGAGACACGGGTGGAGAGACACGGGTGGAGAGACACGGGTGGAGAGAGAGACACGGGGAGAGAGACACGGGTGGAGACACGGGTGGAGAGAGAGACCGGGTGGAGAGACACGGGGAGAGAGACACGGAGAACGGGTGGAGAAGAGAGACACGGGGAGAGAGACACGGGTGGAGGGAGAGAGACACCGGAGGACACGGGTGGAGAGAGAGCCACGGGTGGAGAGCACGGGGAGAGAGGACACGGGTGGAGAGAGGAGACACGGAGACACGGGCGAGGTAGGGAGACACGGGGTGAGACAGGGGGACACGGGGGGGGGTAGGCGGAGACACCGGAGCCTCTGGCAGGCGCCACTCGTAGTTTATTCGTGGTTCAAATAGTACAGAGCAGTGTAAATCACAACACTGATAAGTCTAGGGCAGTGTAAACCATAACACTGATAAGCATCACGCGTTAGCTCTTGTAGCAACATCAACATCACCAAACATCATCATCACCAACATCCTCATCATCAACATCATCATCATCACCACCACGAGGGGTGAAGGGAGGGGGGCGAGGGGGGAGGGGGGCGGAGGGCAGGAAGTGGATAAGAGCAAGTCGTGGGGCGAGGGGGGCGGGGCGAGGGGCGAGGGGGGCGGGGCGAGGGGCGAGGGGGGCGGGGCGAGGGGCGAGGGGGGCGGGGCGAGGGGTGAGGGGGGCGGGGCGAGGGGGTGAACTCAAGTGACCCGACAGACGTTGAGCGCAATTCTTTGTTTATTTCGGTAAAAGTCGCGTAGATAGGGAACACAATATTAATAATAAAAATAATAAAATATAAAAATTTAATAAATACAAAAAATAAAATAACAAATAAATAAATAATACCCCCCGTTGACAGGAAGAGGGAAAAAAAATCCCCTCCCCCACAATTTGGCGCCCTTGCACGACGCGACCCGGTGAGCAGCTCAGTTCAAACGGCGTGAACACGCGGGGCGCATCGTGGGTGGTGATCACCAACCAACATCAACAACATCATCACCACCACCATCACACCAACACCACCACCATCATAACCATCAACACCACCATCATCACCATCAACACCACCATCACCACCAACACCACCACCATCATCACCCATCAACCACCACCATCACCACACCACCATCACCACCACCACCATCACACCACCACCATCACCACCAACACCATCACCACCATCACCACGATCAACACCATCAACACCATCACCACCATCACCACCACCACCATCCCCACCAACACCATCACCACCATCACCAACCATCACCACGATCACACACCATCACACACCATCACCACCATCACCACCACACATCACCACCAACACCATCACCACCATCACCACCATCACCACGATCAACACCATCAACACCATCAACACCATCACCACCACCACCATCACCACCAACACCATCACCACCATCACCACCATCACCACGATCAACACCATCAACACCATCACCACCATCACCATCACCACCAACACCATCACCACCATCACCACGATCAACACCATCAACACCATCACCACCATCACCACCACCACCACCATCATCACCACCACCATCACCACCATGACCCCCCCTCCTCCTGCCCGGCCCCACCCTCCCCTCTCGTCGTCTCCCGTAGCTCGAGCCGGCGGCGGCTACGAGCAGCAGCAGGAGCAGCAGCATCATCATCATCAGCAGCATCATCAGCAGCAGCAGAGAGCATCATCATCAGCAGCAGGAGCAGCAGCAGGAGCATCATCAGCAGCATCAGCAGCATCATCAGCAGTATCATCATCAGCAGCATCATCATCAGCAGTATCATCAGCATCATCATCAGCAGTATCATCAGCAGCAGTATCATCAGCATCATCATCAGCAGCATCAGCATCATCATCATCAGCAATCATCAGCATCATCATCAGCAGCATCATCATCAGCAGCATCATCATCAGCAGCATCATCATCATGGCCACGTGGACGCTGTGCTTGGGCAGCAGGACGAGCTTGATCTCCATGGCCGGCATCCGCTACGAGGGCACCCTCAGCGGGGTCAACACGGACGACTGCACCGTCGCCTTGGCCAAAGGTCACGCACGGGGGGGTCACGGGTCAAAGGGGGTGAGGGCTTAAACAGCAGGACGGCTGCTTGTGTTGTAGCCGAAACGTCGTGAGAATTATTGTATTATGTTTTATTTTTATTATTTTATTACTTCCCTTCTACGTGACTTTACCGAAAGAACCAAGAAGATGAATCCCTGCAGTCACGAAAGCTTTAAATCGAAAAAAAAGTCAGTGACTGCTTTAGTGTTAAAATACGGTGCTGTATTTTTAGGATAGTGTGTTTACAATATCATTTTACGTAGATATCCACATTCACTTAATATTTTTCTTCCGCAAGTTTTTTTTGAAAATGCAATATTTGACATCATCTCAAAAACCCGATGTGATAGACAAAAACCGACGCCAGGGTTGGGATGAAACGCACGACCTCCGATAGACACCAGGCGAGGTGGTTCACTTCTCACCACCGTGGCGCCCACACACCGACCACCACCACGGCACCGTTAGCGGCGTTAGCGTCGTCTTTGTGCGTGCGCAGTGCGTGTGTGCGGCACGGAGGGTCGCCCCGCCGAGCGCGCCGTCGACCCTCGCGAGGAGATCTACGACTACATCATCTTCCGTGCCAGCGAGATCAAGGACCTGGCGGAGTTGGGGTGCCCGCTCTCCGCTCTGCACCCCCACCTGGCCGTCGTGCAGGTGAGAGAGAGGCAGTCGCTCTCCGCTCTGCACCCCCACCTGGCCGTCGTGCAGGTGAGAGGGGGGCAGCCGTTCTCTTCGCCGCCAAACTGGTTGGTTACTTTAGCGGGCAGGACCCCACCGAGATATTTAACTCTGATCATTGGTTGTTTACCCTGTAATCTTTGATTGGTCCATACCCGAGACAGCTTTCCTTAGAGCCTAGTCTCACATGGAGTTGGACAAGATGACTGCCAAAAGGCGCACAACTCAAAGACAATGCACCATCAGAGTATGAGAGCTCGGAGTAAAGCATTTACACCATTGGAACCTCATTTGCCAGTAGAAAAATATGATAATTGGTTTTTTACCCTTCTATCTGGCAACAAAACTGACACCTTTTTTTACAAGGAGTCATGTTTGCATAGACCACAATACCTGCAGTTGGAATGCAAACAAAAACATAACTCTGATAATGTGCACTGTCCTTGAAGTTGATTGGTCCACACCCGAGACAGCTTTCCTTAGAGGCCAGTCTCACATGGTGTTGGACCAGATGACGCCAACAGGCACACAACTCAAAACATGACTCCTTGTAAAAAAGGTGTCAGTTTTGTTGCCAGATAAAAGGATAAAAAAAACAATTATCATATTTGTTGTTACTAGACACGCTACGATTGATCCCGTCGCTGCGTGACCACCCACCCTCGCCCCCGTCCAGTCCTCGTCACGGGGCGCCCGCCCCCTGCGGGACACGCAGCACGGAGCCCGCGGCGGCCACGGGGGGCGGCACGCGCGGAGCCCGCCGGCTCGTGCGGGACACGGCGGACGGGGCGGCGGCCTGCACACGGAGGAGCCGCAGGTACGGGCGGCGCGGTAAACGCTGGGGATGCAAAGGTGGTCGGGCGTTGTACCGCCCGCCCGCCCGCCCCCCTCTTGCAGCCAGCAGCCTTTGCAGGTGCTCGCTAACGGAGCTTATCCTGACGTCGTACGGAAATCCGATGTTTTTTTATTTAAATCCTTTATATTAAGTTCACTTGCTTGCGCGCTTAGGACCGTGCAAATCTTTCGGTCGTTTTTTAACCCACTTCCCGTGATGCAATCGAGCTGATATTTTGCACACAGACTCGTTGTGCGTGACAATTTATGTTCGTAAAAAAAATTTCATATTTAATTTAAAATACCAATGTGATAAAAATGAAACTCTTACTCAAGAAAAACAGAAATGAATAATAAAATAAAACCGATGCCACGCATATAAAGGATTTATAGTGAGAAACACATGCACACGCGCACACACGCACTCACACACACTCACACACACGCACACACTCACACACTCACACGCTCACACGCACACACACACACTCACACACGCACTCACACACACTCACGCACACACTCACTCACGCACACACGCACACTCACACACGCACACACTCACTCACGCACACACGCACACTCACACACACTCACACACTCACACACACTCACACTCACACACACACTCACACACACTCACACACACACTCACACACACTCACACTCACGCACACACACACACTCACACACACTCACACGCAGCTGCACTATCTCCCACAGCCGCGAGGAAGAGCGCCACGGTGGAGCGGGGGGTGCAGACGTCCCCCCAGCGTCAGCAGCGACGGTGTCAGAGCACGAAGCGGATTGCCGCCCAGACTCCCCGTGGGGCCCCGGAGCCGTGCGTTGAGTTGGACGCGGAGTTTGACTTTGCGAGCGCCAACGCGAAGCTGGACCGCGAGGCGCTGGACAGGGAGTTCCGGGGCAGGGAGGCCAAGCGGAGAGAAGGTGGGGCACTCACTCACTCACACGCTGCCGCCACTGATCAACAACTAAGTCACGTAGGTAAAAATTAAAATTAATAAAAGTAAAATAAAAATAAATAAATAAATCACGACGTTTCGATTAATTTTAATTTCGCTGTTGTGTCGTCAAAATAGAAATCTTGTCACTCTTATTATTCTTGGGTTTTTTCGGTAAAGTCACGTAGGTAAAAAATTAAAATTAATTAAAGTAAAATAAAATAAAAATCACGTCGATTAATTTTAATTTTGCTGCTGTATCGTCAAAATAGAAATCTTGTCACTCAATTTTTAGAAACTTCCCAATGTGGTACCCACTGCAAACTTGGTAAAGCTGCGTCATACTGGGGTGGAGGAACTCACTCACACGCTGCCGCCACTCAACAACTCACTTCCTCCGCTGCTGTATCGGCAAAATAGAAATCTTAGTAGTAGGTTTTTACCCTTTTAAACTGGTACAAAACTGACACCTTTATTCAAGGCATCATGTTTGCAATAACCACAACACAAGTAGTCAACAAAGCAAACAAAAAGAAGCAACTCTGATAATGATAATAATATGCACTGTCCTTATCATCATTATCAGAGTTGCTTCTTTTTGTTTGTTTTTTGACTACTTGTGTTGTGGTTATTGCAAACATGATGCCTTGAATAAAGGTGTCAGTTTTGTACCAGTTTAAAAGGGTTAAAACCTACTACTATATTTTGCCACTGGTAAAAGAGATCTCATAGAATAGAAATCTTGTCACTCAATTTTGACACACTTCCCAATGTGGTACCGACTGCAAACTTGTCATCATCACGGTGGCTATGAGATGTTAACTACCTCGCCTGGTGTGCAGGAGGGCGTGAGTTCGATCCCAACCCTGACGATGCCTGCTGCTGTATATATTGGAGTTTGTGTGTTTCTCTCATCATCATCACGGTGGCTATGAGATGTTAACTACCTCGCCTGGTGTGCAGGAGGGCGTGGGTTCGATCCCAACCCTGACGATGCCTGCTGCTGTATATTTGGAGTTTGTGTGTTTCTCTCATCATCATCATCACGGTGGCTAGGAGATGTTGACTAACTAAATTACCTTAAAACCGTTGGAATACCTTATGCCAGAAAAAGTGTGTTGACCATCTTCTTGGTTCTTTCGGTAAAGTCATCACGTAGAAGGGAAGTATTAAAATAATAAAAAATAAAAATAAAAAAATAATTCTCACGACGTTTCGGCCACAACGCAAGCAGCCGTCCTCAGGCGAAGACCAGGTCTGTCGGGGAGACAGCGCCTGAATGTGTGTTGACCAGTGGAGTCTGGGTTGGGTGGGGGGGGGCGGATCTTCGTGTGTTTAATTGTCCAGGCCACCCCCTCACTTCCGCCGTTGCGTCTCCCCTTGTGCAGCGGACAAGCCGAGGGGTCCCCGCACGAGCTCCCCCGTCTTCCTGGACGGCTGCTTCTACGACAAAACCAGGAGTTTCTTTGACAACATTTCCAAAGACGGCGGCAGGTAACGTCCGTCTCTGCCGCTCGCTCGTGGTGTGTGTGTGTTCTTGTTGGATCTCCTCGCCTTCAAGTGCAACGCCTGCTGGGGGAGGCGATGGGGGAGGCGGCAGTACAGCAAGCGGGCTCCGTCTTTGTCTGTGCGGAGATGGTGTTGCTGTCCCCCCCCCACCCACCCCCCACCTCGTGTATAGAAACTCACAAACGGAGTTGGCCTAACCATCCCAATATAGGATGACAGAGCTTGGGCAAATTGTTTGTGCCGTTCCTGGCACATCTGGAAAGTTTGGGCGTTGCAAAAATGTGCGACGTTAACTTGAATCGGCGCGCCAAAACAAATGCACGCCGCGTGAATTGCGTAGTTGCACTTGATTCGAAAAAAATCCCAGCCCCGAGAATAAGAGAAGGACGTGCAACTCTTTGACTGGGCACCAGACGAACATTTGTCTAGACGCAGGATGGCGTGCAGCCGTGCAGGGACCTCTCTGATGTCAGGTTTAGACCATTGGAACATCATTTGTCAGCAGTAGCAGAAAATGATCATTGTTTTTTTACCCTTTTATCTGTCAACAAAACTGACACCTTTTTTTACGAGGAGTCGTATTTGCATTGACCACAATACCTGCAGTCAGAATGCAAAAAAAAACATAACTCTGATAATATATGCACTGTCCTTGAAGTTGATTGGTCCATACCCGAGACAGCTTTCCTTAGAGCCTAGTCTCACATGGGTTGGACCAGATGACGCATTATGGCTGCAGTTATTGTGGTCTATGCAAACATGACTCCTTGTAATAAAGGTGTCAGTTTTGTTGCCAGATAAAAGGGTAAAAAAACAATTATAATATTTTTTGCTGGCAAATGAGGTTCCAATGGTAGCCGTTTGCGACCCTGGTGCGGCCGGGTACGGGTAGGCCGTGAGTCACTGGTGAGTCACCGTTTGTCACTCATTTCGGGTAGGGTACGGGTAGGGTACGGGTAGGGAACGGGTAGGGTACGGGTAGGGTACGGGTACCCATTTGCGACCCTGGTGCGGCCGGGTACGGGTAAGAAATCAAAACCCATCTGCGACCTCTGACCAGCCGTGCTCACTCCCCCCCCCACCCCCCGCCCCTCCCTCCTCTTCCTCCCACCCCGCCAGGAACTGCCGCGTGACGTTGGCGGAGCAGCGGCGCTTGAACGTGGCGACGTTCGGGGCGGACCTCCCCACGTCGCTCGCTCGCCGCTCCCGCCGACGCGGGGCCCTGTGGGGGGGGGACGGGCGGCCGTGCGCGCCCAAAGCCGCCGGTGGGGGGGGGCGGGCAGTCTCCTCCGCCGGCCGAGGTGCAGCCTAGACAGGTGACGACCACGGTGACGGTGACAGTAGCTCGGCTTGTTGGAGAGTATATTTAGTATATTGATGATACTGATGTAGTTTATATTTTAGTTTTTTACGTGGTGGCTTAGCTGCTGCAGCTCCCATACTATTAACATTCCTTCCCTTTCTAGATTTGAAGCTTTCGTGACTGCAAGGATTCATATTCTTAGGTTTTTTCGGTAAAGTCACGTAGGTAAAATTTTTTTTAAATTAATAAAAGTTAAATAAAATAAAAATCACGACGTTTCGGAGGCAACACAAGCTTCCGGAAGCTTTTTTTATTTTACTTTTATTAATTTACATTTTTTTACCTACGTGACTTTATCGAAAAAACCTAAGAATATGATTCCTTCCCTTTATTAATGCTACCCCTACTCCCTCCCTTTGATGCTGCTAATCCTGCATAATATGACTTTGAAACCCCCCCCCCCCCGCCCACCTCCTACACATTCCACAAGTAGTGACTAATCCCATATCTGAATTTCCTATAAATATACTACATTCCTCTGTTGATATGCGAGTCCCTTTGTCAAGGCGCTCTCCTCCTCTAACCCAGCTTAAATATACGCTGCCAAGCTTAGTGGTGTTCATTCAGATGCTGTCTTTCCGGCTGCAACACGATAACGGAAGTCTGTTGATGTTGCTTTTGAGGTTCTCCCCGTGAGAACACGCTGCTCCGTGGAGGATGAGAGAGAGACCATTTGACGGGGTATGCCAATAGCATAAAAATGAGATGCGACGGACGGAGCAAATCTGAGATCAAATTTGAAATCGGCACCCTGAATTTAGTCCAGAACAGCTGCAAAAGTCCAGGCCAGAACTACATGTTGTTGTTTTGTTTTGTTGACCAGTGTGATATGATTTGCGTATTACATCGTGAACAACTTCTAAATCAACGAGCGCTCACACAGCTGCGTGGGTCTCACCCGGTGAGGTCAAGATGTGGAGGAGTTTGTTTCAAACGGCAGTCGCTTGTCAACGCTCTCGTGCCCCACGTTAGAGATTGGAGAAATGTCGGCCACAATCGGCAATTCTCCAAGTGACAATCCGGCCCTTTGCGGGGTTTGACCACGATCTGTCGTGTTGCTTCTTGACGTCGCTAATGCTGCTTACTGCTGCTGCTGCTGTTGTTGTTGTTGCAGGTTGCAGAGAACCACAGCTCCCACCCAGAGCGTACACATATCGGGGGTTTGTTTGATTTGAAAAAAAAAATGTTGTTGGGTCTGAAGAAACGTTACATTAAGGACTGCATGTGGGTTTCGATTTAAAGCTTTATTTCGTGACTGCAGGGATTCATCTTCTTGGTTCTTTCGGTAAAGTCACATAGAAGGGAAATAATAAAATAATAAAAACATCATAAAATACAATTCTCACGACGTTTCGGCCACAACGCAAGCAGCCGTCCTCAGGTGAAGAACAGGTCTGTCGGAAAGACAGCGTCTGAATGAACACCACCAAGCTTGGCAGCAATATACGCAGCAATATACGCTGCCAAACCTGGGGTGTTTCATTCAGACGCTGTCTTTCCGACAGACCTGTTCTTCACCTGAGGACGGCTGCTTGCGTTGTGGCCGAAACGTGGTGAGAATTGTAATTTATGATGTTTTATTATTTCCCTTCTACGTGACTTTACCGGAAGAACCAAAAGTCTGCATGTGGGTTTTGTTAATTGATACGCGATTCTTGCAATGTTTATGGTGTGTACACAAGGTATACACCGCGTTTGGTTGAACACTTTAGACGTTTATAATTTTAAAGAAAGTTTTGAACTTTAGTCTAATGGGTGAAGGTAAAACATGTCTGTTAAGTCGGACTTTAAATTGTCTCCTGAAATGGGTGCTTTTGTGCGACCGGTCTTAATCTGAAATGAGCATGGACATGACAATTTAATTGAGTTGTGTTTGTATTTCACAAGGCAGCATTAAATGTTGCGGAATTTATATTGGCGCATTGGCCGTGGTGAAGTGTCTGGCGAAGATTAAAGTTGACCGGCTGTTGGCTTTAGAACATTGCTTCTTTGAATTTACTGCGTTGCTTTAGATTGCTAGTGTGTGTGTAACGGGTTCCGGAGACACTTGTAGAGGTAACTTCTTTATTACAATACAACACTCCAACAGTCCTGATACTCTGTTACAGCCTAGGTCAGGGGTCGGCAACCTACGGCTCCGGAGCCGCATGCGGCTCTTTACGGGCTGCTTCTTGACGATATGTACGTATGTACAGTATGTACTCAGATGCATTGCGGCTCTTGAAATACTGCATTTTGTACCGAATTGGAAAGAAATGGCTCTTCTTGTTATTTTGGTTGCCGACCCCTGGCCAAGGTACACAGCCTAGGTACACAGCCTAGGTACACAGCCTAGGTACACAGCCTAGATACTCTACTCTGGCTACGCTTTGGAACTCGCCCTCACAAGTTCGTAGAGTCGGGAGTTCCAGAGTCCCACCACTCGCTCTCACAACATCCCAGGGTCTTCAGATGGCTGGTCGTGGGTCTTGGGTCTTGAGCTACGACTGGCCCTGATCGTCCAGGGAGCTCCCCTTTTATGCCCAGTCCCCAACGAGGGGTGGGGCCGTGTGCGCCCCCAGATATCCCACAGAGCACACACAGCCCCCCCCCCCTTTGGCGGCGCCAAGGGGATTAAGCGCCTGGGAACCCAACGCCTGACGCCAAGAGGCTTAAGCGCCTGGCCCACCCAGGGTCCCAGAGCCCCCAGCAGCCCCTCCCTTCTTATGTCACTACATTACTCCCCTCTACGTAGCCTCCAGCCGACCCGGCTGTCAAAAAAAAATACAATTGTACAATAAATTATTTGTTACCCATCAGAATGAGTGTGTGACAAATCAAGAAAAAAAAATGAGAAGAAAGCGCCTCTCCCCCTCCTGTGGTCACGCGTATATAAAAAAAAACTCCAGGCCACCGATGCAGAACAACACTGTATAAAACACATATATGCAGGATGAACGCACGCCCCAATCGCCCACTATACATGATGGCAAGGTGAGTGGCGTCGCGTTGGGACGAGAGTTCGTGGGCGGGGGTCATGAAAATCGTTTTGAGTTTTGAGCGAGTCCGAGTGGCAGGTCCATCGGTCGCGACGGAGGCGAGAGGGGACCGACGACCCGCTTTTGCGCTTGTGTCCTGGGTCGCTTATCCCGCGGGCAAGCTTGTTCCCGCTGGGTCGGCCGTGGCGGGTTTCATTCCCAAGGCACCTGAGGGCGGGACAGCGGGACCTGCCCGAGAGTTAGAAGCAGCATCATCGCAGCGCGGCTCGTCAGACATGTCGCGCTCTCGGCTCCGGAGAAGTGAAGGAGGTGTGTAGGGTTAAATGTAAGGTTTTAGACGTGACGGGTGCACGAAACCAACGTCGCTTGCCATGCTGGATCCTGACACACTGCGGGCGGAGAACGCGAATAATAACAACCGGGCCTCTCCAAGGCTTAAGCAGTTTTGAGGAAGTAGCCAATGGTACCTGCGGGCAGTGGAGCCAGGTGCGGTCCCCTTCTACCCAAATGTGGCGGGACGTGCGGAGATTCCGCAACCGCTCGTTGGCAAGCTGACGGGCTTCTGAGTTATTTTGAGCAGCCTCCCGGGCATCCACGAGACGACGCACATTAGCACGGATGTGGTCGGCAATCTTAGCCTTAGGTGCGGGCTGTTTAATGTGCAATTGTACGTCGATTGGGGGGGCAAACCTCCCTACCATACATAAGATAGAATGGCGAGTACCCCGTGGCAGCATGGGGTGCCATTCTATAGGCGGCCAAGACACCAGGTATGTGGAGATCCCATCAGTCTGTGACTCAGACACCTGGTGGCTTAGCATGGAGGTAAGTGTCCTATGTAATTGCTCGACCATACCGTCAGTCTGGGGGTGATATGGCGAGTGTGTGTCCCTAACAGGTTGCACACATCCCGCAACAGGGTGGAAGAGAAATTTTTCCCTTGGTCGGTCAGCAGGCATTCGGGAGCACCCTTATCCAGGACGGAGCCCTGGAAAAAGGCCTCCGTAATGGCTGCTGCAAACTGGTTGGGGAGTGGCCAGGCCATGGCCCATCGGGTAAATTATTCCACCCCAACCAAAAGGTACTTACTACCCCGAGGAGTAGCGGGAAACGGACCCAAAATATCCAATGCGACGATCTCATTGACCCGGGAAACCTTAATGGATTGAAGCGGTGGGCAGGACGGCCTAGCAGGTGGTTTCCGCCGTGCACATTCTGTGCAACCTTGCACAAGATCAGCCACATCGTTTGCCATGCCCGGCCAGAAAAATTCCAATTGGATTTTAGCTAGTGTTTTCTGAACACCCAAGTGCAAGAGGCGACTGTGGGTTTCCCACACAAGTCGCCCCCGCAGGGAGGTGGGCACCACCAATGTGTGGGATTGGGACCCCCCATCCGAATGCATGAGGACGCCTTCCCGGATGACATATGATACGGGGCCCCCCTGCCCCCTGTGACCCTCGGCATCCCTAGCGCGGCGTCTCAATTTGAGGAGGGAGACGTCTTCCATCTGAAGACGTCCCCAGTCGTCCAACCCGAGGCCCAGCAATGCGTCCTGCGGAACTTGCGTGGAGGGAGCCCCGTGGTTCCCGACCCCATCCCCGGCCGCGGCCGCAAGGGATGGGGGCGGTACTCCGTCAGGCTGCCTACAACGCCCCGCACCCCAAAAAACAAGCACAGCGCCCATTGTTCGGCAGCCGCGACAACCCGTCGGCGTTCCCGTGTTGAATCCCCTTGCGGTAAATGACAGTGAACGCAAAGTCCTGGAGGATCTCGAGCCAACGCGAGAGCTGTCCAGATGGTTGGTCCACTCGCAAGGCGTATTGTAGCGCCGCATGACCGGAGTGTACTGTGAAATGCCTGCCATACACGTATGGCCTGTACTGCTTTATGAAAAAAACGATGGCAAGCAATTCGCGGCACGTCACGCAGTAACGTTGCTCCGCGGGTGACAGCACCCTGCTGCCATAGGCGACGACGCGCCTCCACTCCATTGACAATTTGCGACAGCACCCCTCCAATTCCGGTGTTGCTGGCGTCTGTATCCAGAATGAACGGAGTGGTAAAATCTGGATAAGACAGGGTAGGAGCATCGACCAGTGCTTTTCGGACGGCATTGAACGATGCCTGTTCTAACTCTCCCCAGTGGAATTGACCCATTTGGCCGTTAATGCGTGGAGGGGCTTCGCGATGGATGCGAATCCCGCAACAAATCGTCGATAATATGAGGCGAAGCCGATAAAACTCCGCACCTCCCCAACAGAGGTAGGAGTTGGCCATGAGCGCACGCAATTTGTCTTTTCGGGGTCCGTGGCAATTCCAGAGCGGCTGACAATATGGCCCAAATAACGAACCGAATCCCTCATGAGGTGGCACTTTTGCGGTTTGAATTTGAGGTTAGCCGCTCGCATTTTAAGGAAAACTGCCTTCAATCGCGTGAGGTGTTCATCAAAAGTTTTGCTGAACACGATTACATCGTCGAGGTAGATTAGGCAAGAATCCCACTGGAGCCCAGCGAGGACCAGCTCCATCAGGCGCTGGAACGTCGCCGGGGCCGAGTGAAGACCCATGGGAAGTCTGTTGAATTGGAACAGTCCCTGCGGCGTGCGAAAGGCCGTCTTTGGTTTGGATGCGTCATCAAGGGGTAGCTGCCAAAACCCCGAGAGGAGATCCAAGGTGGAGAAGTAGTGCGCACCTAAGGCATCGAGCGACTCGTCCATCCTGGGAAGCGGGTAGGCGTCGGCCACAGAAATCTTATTAAGTTTCCTGAAGTCAACAAAAAAGCGGAGGCTCCCGTCGTGCTTCTTAACAAGAATGATCAGCGCCCCCCATGGGCTATTTGATGGCGCAATGACATCGGCCGCCAACATATCGTTGACGGCCACCCTTTTCGGCCGGGCTCAACCGGAATGGGTTTTGACGAATTGGAGCGGCATCACCCGTGTCGATGTGGTGGCTTAGCAATTTAGTGCAGCCAATGTCGAATTTTCTTTGACTGAAAACGTCGGCGAAATCGCTCAGCAGCGTGCGTAATTTAGCATGCTGTAATGGTGACAAATCGGCAGAAGTGGAGCAAAGCGCGTCGAGCCATCCTGTGTCAGGACCTGGCTTGGCAACGGAAGAGGACTCGCCCCCTACGTGACCCACGATCACATATTCTGGCGGGGCTGGGCGTCGCGTGAGCAAGCACCATTCCCTGACAGATAACGGCCGTTTCCAATCCCGCGTTAAGGACCTGGATAAAGGGGTCGTGGTCGCTTCGCACGAGTGTTTGTGCACACACGAGGTCCGACACCCGCTCAGCTGAACGCGAAGGCCCGATCACAGCACCCCCATGAACGCGTCGTAATCAAGGGGTTTACGAAACCGGAGGGGAACTAACATCTGAGAGCCAGGAGGAATGTGAATTGTGCACGCCGCCAACGCCTGCACCGTCGTAGATGCGGAGTTCAACCGAGTGGGTGTGGGTAGGAAGGCCATGCGTCGGCCGGAGGGGAGCTCAATACACCCTTTGTTAATGAGAATTTTAATGGGCATCTTCCCCAAGAAATCTGTTCCGAGGAGGCACGGAACGGCGAGGGTTGATGAGACCAAAATGGGCCCAACTAATTGGACGTCAGCAATGCGGATCTGAGCATTGATCCGTCCGGTGATGCCCAACGAACCCCCATTTGCGGCATAGCATGGCACATCAACTGGCTGCAAGGGACGGCATGTATCGGGCAGAATGTTATAAATTATGTCTGAAATGATGGTCGCCAACGCACCCGTATCGATCAACATACGAACATCAACGCCCTCGATGGAACCCACTACGGCAGAGGACCCTGCCGCCGCGGCAACGACCCTATGGGCCAACTCGGACCATTGACCCGGTCCGAGCGCCTGGTTGTTCAATGATGGGCCCGAATCCCCTCCTCCGAAGCATGACCCCCCTGTGTGGTGTGAGGGTGCGTGCTTGTTGTAAGTGGGGGCCGAGAGTGCGAGGTGTCGTGACTCGCCTGGGTATGCCGAGGATACGGTGGTGGCCGAGGCGCCGGAGGTCCTGAAGTCCGGCGTCGGGGGACCCGGCAGCCGGACGCCACATGGCCCCGAAGGCCACAGTTGTGGCAGACGATGGACGCCCCATCCTGGCGCGAGATTGGCCGGTCCGCTGGTGGGTGATCTCGCTGGGATCGCCAGTTGGACGATCCGCGATTTTCTGTTGCCGCGAAGGCCTGATGAGGCTCCGAATGCACGTCATAGGCTTGTGCATCAGGTGGGCCTGCGCAGGCGGCGATGGTCGTGTCCTCATCGCAATGTAGGTGTGCTTGGATGCACCTAGCAGCACGTAGCGACGTGAAGTCGTCGTCGTCGGCTGTCGGCATGGCAACTCGAAGCTGGCAGGCCAAGCTCATGAGCTTCTGCAGCACGAGTGACTCCACAGCGTCTTCATCCATGCGAGGGTAGGCAACCCGCGCCATGGCCAGCAGCGCGCTGCGGTACCCCCATCGCCGACTCGGAGGCCTTCTTCCTCCTCGCATCGAAGCGGTGACGTGCTTCGGACGGGGGTCCATAAATCAGCCGTATCTGATGAAGGGCATCCGTGAGCGTGGCACGTTTCGCCCGTGGCACCGCAAGGAGTGCTGCGAGGGAGTCGTCGTCGAGCATGGCCGGAAGGCCCTGGAGCGCTTCATACTCCGACCAGCCGGACGTCTCTATAAGAGAGACGAACCGGCGTTCGAATGCTGCCCACTCACCTCCCTCTGAAGAAAATCCTTGAGTTCCGGCAGGCGTTGGTGGGACGTGAGCCCCGCGCTCGTTGGCCTGGCAACCTCGGCTGAAGCTGGCTTCGCGTTCCCAGCGCTGTCACTCGGCGGTGAGGGACGCAGCGCTGATGACGCGGCGTCGTCGGGTTGGCCCACGCTGGGCCAGGAAGTGACGTCGCCTCCCAGCGGTCATTGCTCCCCCGGGAGAAGTGACGACACACGGAATGTATTTGCCGGCGGGAACGGCTGCCATCTTTGTGTGGGAGCCGGCGGAATGGCGCGGCCGCTGCGCCGCCTCTCTCCCTCCTCTCTCCGCCTGTGAGTGACGCATGTCGTCCAGGATGGAGACGGTGGCGTGGAGCAGCTCGGTGAGGCGAAGCAGCGTTTCCTCCCATTGCTGCTCCCTACGCTGGAGGAGGATCGGCAGGTGTGGTGGACGACTGCTCAGCCGGCGGTTGCGGCGTCGTTGTCGGCCCGAGTTGGCTGCCCTGTCGCCGCTTGCTCCTCAACTATCGCCGTCAGGACTGAAGGTACGTGGCTTACTTCTTGTCTCCAATCCACTTCTGACACAAATGTAACGGGTTCCGGAGACACTTGTAGAGGTAACTTCTTTATTACAACACAACACTCCAACAGTCCTGATACTCTGTTACAGCCTAGGTACACAGCCTAGATACACAGCCTAGATACTCTACTCTGGCTACGCTCTGGAACTCGCCCTCACAAGGTCGTAGAGTCGGGAGTTCCAGAGTCCCACCACCCTGGCTCTCACAACATCCAGGTCTTCAGATGGCTGGTCGTGGGTCTGGGTCTGAGTTACAACTGGCCCCGATTGTCTAGGGAGCTCCCCTTTTAATGCCTAGCCCAACGAGGGGTGGGGCCCGTGTGCGCCCCCAGATATCCCACAGAGCACACCACAGCCCCCCCCCCCCCCCCCCGTTGGCGGCGCCAAAAGGATTAAGCGCCTGGGAACCCAACGCCTGACGCCAAGAGGCTTAAGCGTCTGACCCGCCTGAGAACCCACGCCTGGCGCCAAGGGGATTAAGCGCCTGGCCCTCCCAGGGACCCAGAGCCCCCAGCAGCCCCTCCCTTCTTATGTCACTACATTAACCCGTTACAATAGCAGCAGGAGTAGCAGTAGTAGCAGCAGTAGTAGCAGCAGCAGCAGGAGTAGCATAGTAGCAGCAGTAGCAGCAGTAATAGCAGCAATAGTAGCAGTATCAGCAGCAGTAGTAGCAGCAATAGTAGCAGTAATTGCAGCAGTAGCAGTAGTAATAGCAGCAATAGTAGCAGTAGTAGCAGCAGTAATAGCAGCAGTAGTAGCAGCAGTAATAGCAGCAATAGTAGCAGTAGTAGCAGCAGTAATAGCAGCAATAGTAGCAGTAGTAGCAGCAGTAATAGCAGCAATAGTAGCAGTAGTAGCAGCAGTAATATCAGCAATAGTAGCAGTAGTAGCAGCAGTAATAGCAGCAATAGTAGCAGTATCAGTAGCAGCAGCAGTAGTAGAGCAATAGTAGCAGTAGTAGCAGCAGTAATAGTAGCAGCAGTAGCAGCAGTAATAGCAACAGTAGTAGCAGCAGTAATAGCAGCAATAGTAGCAGCAGTAGCAGCAGTAATAGCAGCAATAGGAGCAGTAGTAGCAGCAGTAATAGCAATAGTAGCAGTAATAGCAGTAATAGTAGCAGTAGTAGCAGCAGTAATATCAGCAATAGTAGCAGTAATAGCAGCATAGTAGCATCAGTAGCAGCAATAGGAGCAGTAGTAGCAGCAGTAATAGCAATGGTAGCAGTAATAGCAGCAATAGGAGCAGTAGTAGCAGCAGTAATATCAGCAATAGTAGCAGTAATAGCAGCAGTAGTAGCATCAGTAGCAGCAATAGGAGCAGTAGTAGCAGCAGTAATAGCAGCAATAGTAGCAGCAGTAATAGCAGTTGTAGCAGCAGTAATAGCAGTAATAGTAGTAGTAGTAATAGTAGCAGTAGTAGCAGCAGTAGTAGTAGTAGCAGCAGTAATAGCAGCAATAGTAGCAGTAGTAGCAGCAGTAATAGCAGCAATAGTAGCAGTAGTAGCAGCAATAGTAGCAGTAGTAGCAGCAGTAATAGCAGCAATAGTAGCAGTAGTAGCAGCAGTAATAGCAGCAATAGGAGCAGTAGTAAGCAATAGTAGCAGTAGTAGCAGCAGTAGTAGCAATAGGAGCAGTAGTAGCAGCAGCAGTAGTAGCAGTAGTAGCAGCAGTAATAGCAGCAATAGTAGCAGCAACACTAGTAGCAGTAGTAATAGCAGCAATAGTAGCAGCAGCAGTAGTAGCAGTAATAGCAGCAATAGTAGCAGCAGTAATAGCAGCAATAGTAGCAGCAGCAATAGTAGCAGCAGTAATAGCAGCAATAGTAGCAGCAGTAATCAGCAATAGTAGCAGTAGTAGCAGCAGTAATAGCAGCAATAGTAGCAGTAGTAGCAGCAGTAATAGCAGTAGTAGCAGTAATAGCAATAGCAGCAGTAGTAGCAGCAGTAGTAGTAATAGTAGTAGTAGTAGCAGTAATAGCAGCAATAGTAGCAGTAGTAGCAGCAATAGTAGCAGCAATAGTAGCAGTAGTAGCAGCAGTAATAGTAGCAGCAGTAGCAGCAGTAATAGCAGCAGTAGTAGCAGCAGTAATAGCAATAGTAGCAGCAGTAGCAGCAGCAATAGTACAGCAGTAGCAGCAGTAATAGCAGCAATAGTAGCAGTAGTAGCAGCAGTAATAGTCAGCAGTAGCAGCAGTAATCAGCAATAGTAGCAGCAGTAATAGCAGCAATAGTAGCAGTAGTAGCAGCAGTAATAGCATCAATAGTAGCAGTAGTAGCAGCAATAGTAGCAGTAGTAGCAGCAGTAATAGCAGCAATAGTAGCAGTAGTAGCAGTAATAGCAGCAATAGGAGCAGTAGTAGCAGCAATAGTAGCAGTAGTAGCAGCAGTAGTAGCAGCAATAGGAGCAGTAGTAGCAGTAGTAGCAGCAGTAATAGCAGCAATAGTAGCAGCAACACTAGTAGCAGTAGTAATAGCAGCAATAGTAGCAGCAATAGTAGCAGTAGTAGCAGCAGTAATAGTAGCAGCAGTACAGCAGTAATAGCAGCAGTAGTAGCAGCAGTAATAGCAATAGTAGCAGCAGTAGCAGCAGCAATAGTAGCAGCAGTAGCAGCAATAATAGCAGCAATAGTAGCAGTAGTAGCAGCAGTAATAGTAGCAGCAGTAGCAGCAGTATAGCAGCAATAGTAGCAGCAGTAATAGCAGCAATAGTAGCAGTAGTAGCAGCAGTAATAGCATCAATAGTAGCAGTAGTAGCAGCAATAGTAGCAGTAGTAGCAGCAGTAATAGCAGCAAGTAGCAGTAGTAGCAGCAGTAATACAGCATAGGAGCAGTAGTAGCAGCAATAGTAGCAGTAGTAGCAGCAGTAGTAGCAGCAATAGGAGCAGTAGTAGCAGTAGTAGCAGTAATAGCAGCAATAGTAGCAGCAACACTAGTAGCAGTAGTAATAGCAGCAATAGTAGCAGCAGCAGTAGTAGCAGTAATAGCAGCAATAGTAGCAGCAGTAATAGCAGCAATAGTAGCAGCAGCAATAGTAGCAGCAGTAATAGCAGCAATAGTAGCAGCAGTAATAGCAGCAATAGTAGCAGTAGTAGCACAGTAATAGCAGTAGTAGCAGTAATAGCAATAGCAGCAGTAGTAGCAGCAGCAGTAGTAGTATATAGTAGCAGTAGTAGCAGCAGTAATAGCAGCAATAGTAGCAGTAGTAGCAGCAATAGTAGCAGCAATAGTAGCAGTAGTAGCAGCAGTAATAGTACCAGCAGTAGCAGCAGTAATAGCAGCAGTAGTAGCAGCAGTAATAGCAGCAATAGTAGCAGCAGTAGCAGCAGTAATAGCAGCAATAGTAGCAGTAGTAGCAGCAGTAATAGTAGCAGCAGTAGCAGCAGTAATAGCAGCAATAGTAGCAGCAGTAATAGCAGCAATAGTAGCAGTAGTAGCAGCAGTAATAGCAGCAATAGTAGCAGTAGTAGCAGCAGTAATAGCAGCAATAGTAGCAGTAATAGCACCAGTAATAGCAGCAATAGGAGCAGTAGTAGCAGCAATAGTAGCAGTAGTAGCAGCAGTAGTAGCAATAGTAGCAGTAACAGCAGCAGCAGTAGTAGCAGTAATAGTAGCAGTAGTAGCAGCAGTAGTAGCAGCAGTAGTAGTAGCAATAGTAGCAGTAGTAGCAGCAGCAAAAGGAGCAGTAGTAGCAGCAGTAATAGCAATAGGAGCAGTAGTAGCAGCAATAGTAGCAGTAGTAGCAGCAGTAGCAGCAGCAATAGGAGTATAGCAGCAGTAATAGCAGCAATAGTAGCAGTAGTAGCAGCAGTAGTAGCAAATAGGAGCAGTAGTAACAGCAGTAGTAGCAGCAATATGAGCAGTAGTAGCAGCAGTAATAGCAGCAATAGTAGCAGTAATAGCAGCAATAGTAGCAGTAATAGCAATAGTAGCAGTAGTAGCAGCAGTAATAGCAGCAATAGGAGCAGTAGTAGCAGCAATAGTAGTAGTAGCAGCAGTAGTGGCAGCAATAGGAGCAGTAGTAGCAGCAGTAGCAGCAATAGTAGCATAGTAGCAGCAGCAATAGGAGCAGTAGTAGCATCAGTAATAGCAGCAATAGGAGCAGTAGTAGCAGCAGTAATAGCAGCAATAGGAGCAGTAG